TGGCCGACATCGGCACAAAGGAGTTGAAGAAGGCAGGCAAATTCACCCTCCCAGGACTTGTGATGATCAAGACCCGCAAGAAGAAGGCCACGAAGGCCGGGAAGAGGATGATGTTCGGCAAGGAGGTGAAGGTGAAGGCCCAGCCCGCCAAGACCGTGGTGAAGGCATTCCCTGTCAAGGCCAGCGTGCGGGGCAGCATCTTCCGAAGATTTCAACCCCGAAACCCTAAGGCCCTAAACACCGCGAACCCCAAATCGGAGCAGACTTCTATGGGACGTGATTGTTGTTGAGAGCACTCGCAGTGAATGCAAGTTTCACCTCAGTCAGACCTCGAAACACATGCCTCGCCTGGAGTGTCCGAGTGTGAGCGCCGAACCCAAACGCTAGACCCCAAACCCTAAAACCCAAAACCCTAAAACCCAAAACCCCAGAAGCCCCAAACCCTAAGCCCCCAAAAGTAGATTGGCATTTGCACGCTGGCCTGTCGAGCGCGGACTGTGTTCGAACAGATTTGCTTGAGCTTGAATGCACCACTGTAGTAAGCATCCTCCGGCACGAGCTCTATGGTTTAGGAGTTTAGGAGGAATTTGCTGTAGGCGGCACGAGAAGATGTGAGATAGCCGCTGAGTGTTGTTTCACATAGTGTGGCTTTGGCTGTTGCCAGATATCTTAAGTCACCCTTCTCCCAGCCCTGCAAGGCCGTGAAGGACGAGTTTTGAGTCTGAGGCCATGGCTCTTCGAAGTGCCCATTAGCTCCCAGGGATTTTGCTGTGCAGTCGTTGCACTGGCTTTGCAGTCATGCGGTCTCTCACCGAACAGAGAGAATGCACAAGTTTTGAGATTGCATTGAAGACGTGCGCGTGCTGCCAGATCTGCAATGCATCAGGGTTTCATGAAACGGAGGTCGAAGTCCAGCGAGTATATCGGATGTATGGATTGCAGTCTTCAGGCTTTTGCGTGTGTACACGCAAGTATGAATGTATAGGCAGGGAGGCGCACAACGGATGGGTGCAAAAGAGTTCTTGTGAGTTGCTACTCTGATTGCTTTACCAGGCTGCCAGGGATGTTGGTTCTGCTAGTAGAGGGGACGCTTTGTGGTTGGTCCACTCGGATTTACGGTATAGGATTCAGGATCTTACAGCAGCTACGACCGAGCTGCCCTTTTGGTGAACGGTTGATGCGAGGCGGGGGAAGCGACAGGTGTTTGGTGAGAATCTAGGGCTGGGTTTCGCAGAATTTAGGACTTTAAGATGTAGGGTTTGGGGTTTAGGCTGTCCCAAGCCCTTCAGCATCAACAACTGGCGGCAGGAAAGCCCAATGCGGCGGCTGCCGATGTAGGCATGAATCCGAAGGGGGGAGAGCAATCAGGCCGGGTGGTTCCTGGTTTTGTAGAAGGGCCTTTGTCGGGAATACGATGCCGTAGGATAAAAGGAATTTAGGTTGGGGTTGAAGTTGAAGGTTTTTGCAGGCATTCTGATGGTGGCATGCAGCATCAAGGGGGCATGTTGCATTGTTCAACAACAGGCCGCAACCCGGAGAAAGCCGCGCCCGTCTTTTTGCGGAGGCTTTCCGGGATCGCATCCAAGCGTTGTTTGGGCGGTTTATACCTGGCAATCAGCTCGGATTCTTGTCCCACTTCTGCAGGAAAGCATCACTTCAGACAACGAGCTGTAGCTTGGCTCTCAGTGGCCGGGGTCGCTACAGTTGAGTTTCTCACCGCAATGAATAGTTTTGTTGTGCTGACATTGGGGGTTTCCGAAAATAGAGGACCCTAATATAGTACCCCAAATAGCAGGATCCTTATTATAGGACCCCAAAATAAGGTACCCCTTATTTTCGGAAACTCCCATTTTGTTTCTTCGTGACCCAGAATGTCGCTGGCCCAGTGCTTGCTCGGGGCTTCCCGACGATCATCCCTCGACTGTGATTTACTCCGTTCTGCCATGGCTCAAGAAGCGTTGGCTGCTGTGTCATGCATGCTTAAGCCTCGACGTGTTACCGGACGATGAGTATCTACTTACTAGCATTTTGGTTAAGTTACGACTTGAAGTCGTCCTCGCATGCTGCCATGCCGTACCGGGCAGATGTTATTGGGCCTCCTGGTTCAGCTTACTTTGCTGTCGGTGTGTGATGTGGCCTAAACCCTCAACTCGAAAACCCTATGTCGTAGCTCTTGCTCCTGATCCTCCGACCTCATCTTGAGGTACGACCAAGAAACGGTGTTCAGCCCTGTGATCTTTCAAATTCGCGTTGCCCACGACACTGGCGTCCACTTCGTGTGGCACAGATACAATGCCTTCAAGCAGCTGTCTGCCTACTTGAGCCACCGCTTTCCGGCTCTCCCGACCTTGCAGGGAGGCACGAGCTCGCCCAAAGCTGCCGAGACCCCCAAGACACCATCACGAGGTCTCGTGACGCGTCTAACTTCGGACTGCAGCGAGCAGAACCTGGTGGCTAAGAGTTTCTGTTCTATCGTCCAGTCCGTGGTACCCTTCGTTTCCGAATCGGAGTCGAGTTAGTTACCCTTGCAAGATCCGGCTGGGTCGGGAGCTCATGGCGACTCGCGTTTGGGGTCTCGAGTCGTGCTTTATGCACCGCCCGCTCACGACACAGCGCCCGGCCATTCCCATTCCGTCACACTCACCCCTCACCCGCCTCAGCCACCTCACCCTTCGTATCCTCTGCTCACTCGGAGGCCACCTTTGGCAAAAGGCCGTGAACTCGGCTGGCTTCTTGAAGTCTCGACAACACTGCCTTACCAGCTTCTTGCAAGCGGCCTTGACGATTGATGCAGATGTGGAGGAGCCGGGGCTGGTTCCTTAGACCATTGGGAGGTATATGCCAAATCTATAGCAATGCGGGCGAAGTTTTCTGTATACAGGCATTGTGCACACTAATCATGCACTGCGGCAGCTTCGATCTAGCTTTCCCGATGCCGACTTGCAGTACAATAGTGTTTAGCTAGTATGATCATTAGGGGTTGTTTTAGTCAGATCATACTTATACTAACAACGATGATATTTGATTTTTTGCTACTGCTACGACGACTACTACTGCTACTATTGCTACTACTGCTACTGCTGCTGCTGCTACTACTACTACTACTACTACTACTACTACTACTACTACTACTACTACTGTGTGTTGAGATGCGAGTGGGACAGTGACGCATAGAGTGACTCACAGTAGTCCACAGTTTAGTTAGGGTACGTCCTGTTGCAAACCTTGCACTGTAATATCCTTTCCTGGTAGATCTTTGCACGCACTGCTTTCTCGAATGCTCAGCGCCTAAACTGAACAGGCACGGGATCCGGTATCTCTTGGTGGGCCCTTTAACTTTGGTTATTGACTTCTCTTTGGGTTGGTTGCTAGTAGTGCCTGTAGGCCCTGCGCAAGATGTGCTGAACTGAACTTTGCATGTGGCTGCCTGTCGCGAAACAATATAGGCCGATGCTTCATAAGCTATGCGTCTCTTAGCTGTCAGGCTGCTTGTCGTCGACGTGCCAAGTGGGTGACAAAATACTACTGCTACTACTACTACTACTACGACTACTACTACGACTACTACTACTACTACTACTTCTACTTCTACGTCTACTACTACTACTACTACTACTACTACTACTACTACTACTACTGCTACAGCTACAGCTACAGCTACTGCTACTGCTACTGCTACGACTACGACTACGACTACGACTACGACGACGACGACTACTAGT